GAACCCCTGAAAGCTTCATGCTTTCGAGATACATCAAGCTGTGCTTGATAATCAACAGATGACTGACTGCGCGATGGATGCCTAAGTGTGCGTGTGTGTGTGGCTAATGACATGTTCACCGAGTTGCCTTCATCCAAGGATGGCTACACAAAACGTGTGACTTCGCTCGAAACGATGTTTTGTAGTTGGAGCGAACTCTGGGCATTGATGTCCACCAAGGTGACACCGGCTCCTCATGAGGCCGAAGCATTCTGGGTGGACAATAGCGAGCTCCAATCTGGAACACGTGGGATCGCCTACCGGCGCAGCATGAACTTGTCAGACAAGGAGCCGAAGAAGATCGCCGAGTTCAACACGGTGGTTCGAGGGATTCCGCACGAGTCGTGGCTTCAGGTGGACGACTTCTTCTTGCCGATGAAGGTAGGGGGCAAAGAGGTCCTTAGGAAGGTCTGGTGGTCTCGGACGAACATCGAAGACAACCTGGCAATTGGACCGTCGGCCGACGCAGCAGCCGAAGAAGTCCAGAAACTCCGCAAGGTAGGGGAGACGGAGCCCCCCGAAGTCCCGGAAGCTCACAACACTCCGGAAAGCCCACCGACAGCATCACGACCCTTAGTCGCGGGCACTGGCTCTTGGTACGAAGTGGTCTGTGAAAGGCTGATCATCCGCACTGCGCCTGACCTTGAAGCCCCAATGCAGGGCACCCGACGCCGAGGTCAGAAGCTGGAAGTCTTCGACTGGGATCCTACAAGGAAGTGGAGGAGGATTTCTACATCCTTGGGGCCTGCTTGGGTTCTGTTGGACGCTGAGACTGGCCCCGTTCTGCGGCCAAAGGATGTTCCATTCTCGCAGCAGCCGCTGCACCCTCTGTGCCAAGCAGCACGGGAAGGATGCCTCCCAGACATTCAGCGCTTTCTGTCGGAAGGCCTGGAGGTGAACACCCGCGATGTCGATGGACAGACACCCCTGATGCTTGCGGCTCAAAGCTTTGGCTGGGAAGGCTTCGTCGCATGCGTCCTGCTCCTGGAGGCGAATGCCGACCCAAGCTTGACACTGAATCGTGCAGATGAGATGTTGTTGCGTGAGAAGATCGTGCGGCTCGAGCGAGAGAAGCGGGCTGCTGCCGAGCACGAAGATTTCGTCAAGGCCGCAAGCATCAAGAACGAGCTCGATGCCCTGAAGAGAAACCTAGACGAGCCTGGCAGCACCGCACTCACTCTCGCAGGCGAGACAGCTGCAGCGGAACTGTTGAAGATGGTGTCAACCGGAAGTTTGTTTTGTGACATGCAGAAGTTGCATACAATTTACGATGAGATTCGCAGCGTGCCCGGCCCTGAATGCAGGGGTATTCCGGGCAGAGTTGAAGCGCTGGCTCGCGCCGCCGAACGGAAAGATGCGCAGGAGCAGCAGGCTGCTGGAGAGCGAGAGCCTGCAGGCGGCGAGGGGCTTGTCGCCTCTCTGGAGGCGACATACGAAGTCATTCAGGAGACTAAAGAAGATGCAAGCGGTGCAAGCCCCGTCCGGGCCGAGACGGAGGAGGATGTTAGCGATAGCGATGACTTGCCCTTGCTTGACACCGAGGTGGCCGAGGAGTCTCGAGCCGTGGTTTACCGTGTGGTGCACGACAAGGCATGGGTCTACGAGGAGCCATCGTTGTCCGCAGACCTTCTGGGTCAGTTGAGAAAGAATCAACTCGTGGAGGTCTTCGACTATGACCGTTCCAGATCATTTGGTCGTGTGGAAGTTTGCCATCGAAGCACCCGATTTCGGGAGAAGGGCTGGGTATTGTTCCAGGATGAGTCTCTGGGAGACCTGCTGAAAGTGTTTCGGCGGTAGTGGAAAAGTCAAAGAGGTGCCTGCTGAGGTGAAGTCTCGGGGCCCAAGCACGGAGTTCCGTGTGCGTAGTGCCGAATTGCTGTAAGGCCTTGGTGGGGAAGTTCGCGTACTTCAGGACCGAAGCGGAAGAAGCAGAAGCGGTGCGATGTGGTACGCATTCGTCAGCCTCATCTTGCAGGACTGTAGGCAAGACCACCGGAAGGCAGTGGCAAGCTTAGGGATGCTTGCAGCGAAATTCTCCCCCCATGGTATCAAGCTCGATGCCAGCATTGCAGAAACCAGCAGCTGAGGTGGAGTCAGATTGTGCTTGGCCAGGAGGAGGCAGGGCTTTGGCTGGCGTCATGAGTTTGCTTTTGGCTTACAGCCCGATGTTTTCTCTCGTGGCGTTTTGCCCGGGCATGAGCAGAAGAAGACTTTCTCAGGCTGCGGAAAAAACTGTGGGGTTTTCGTCGTGAAGAGTTGACGCACCACTGGCACGCCAAGTTCGAGAGCTTTTGTTGCCCTGTGTCCACCTATGGATTGAATTAATTGAGCAGAAAGGCCAGCAGACTCCTTCGAAGCCCTCAAGAGGTCCCGACTGCGCAGGGATCGGAAAGGCGAGGCCGCGCCTCTTCCAGCCCAGAAAGGAAGTTCAGCGCTCGAACGTTGAAGTCACCTCCTGCCCTCGACCAGCCGTGCCGGAATCTGCCATCCCGACGTGCACGAGGATCCTGAAGATCAAATTGGGCCTTTTTCGGGAGTTGTCAGCGAAACCGTTTTCCGGAGACGGATTTCTCTTGACATACTTGCATAGCCCCGTGGCCTCATCGGTATCCAAAGCTGGCCACCAGCAGAAACGACAGCAAGAGCAACCGAATGCCATGCCGGCATCTGAGTAGACGGACGCCAGGATGCTCTCATGACGATTTTGTTCCTGCTCAGCCCTGTGGCGAGCGCGAGACTTTCAATTTGCTAATTTCCTCGAAAAAGCAGCCTGGCCTTTTGATTGTCGACTTTTTGGAGGACAAGCAATGCTACAATTTGGCTGTTACTTTGGCCCGTAGGGCCGTAGGGGACAGACGTGCATGTCGTCACGGAGGTTTCTGATGCCGTCGCCGGCGGAGTCAGCCTTAGATGCATGCTGCAGTGAGTTTCCATGCATCTCGTTTCTTTTCGGGCTTCTTCCCTGTTGCGAGGTGCAGAACCAGATGACAGGCATGATGTAGCAGTAACTTCGCAGTGACGCATTCGCCATATTGCAGGCCGTCCAGACCTCGAAGGCATCCTCTTCGTCTGGGGTGCCGTCCACTGCCCAGGCCAGGCGATGAGAGTAGCACCCGAGTTATAAGATGCTATAAGGAACGTGCTGTGATGGTTTGTGGAGCTGGTATGGATCGCCCAGACTTGGAGGTGGAGGTGCGATGTGCATTGCTGGAGAGACAACTACATTGTTGTTTGCAGGGATCTCGGATGCGCGGGCTTGGTTCTGCATTTCTGCTGAACAACTGGTGCATTCCCAGTCTCGCCTTCTTCGCCCAACATTGGGCTCCTACTTCTTAGCTTCTGCTAGGGAAGGCAGACTGAGGGATGTCGAGCTGTTTGTGTGTACGAAGCATGAAGTGCCAAGGTCGCGGACCACCTGATGAAACTGTAGACCCTGAAGGCCTGCACGCGCCTAACTGTTTCAGCATCAGGGTTCTCACCCGATGCATGGCAGCCGAGGGTGTCTTGGAGTGTTGGAGAGTTACGGAAAGAGTTTGGAGACGGCCAGGTGACTTCCAGCGCACACAGGCGGCACGGTTCCTGGAGATCGCGCCCCTGCTGCATCTTAGTGAGTCGATGGTAGGGAAACGGAGGAACTGACTTCTCCAGCTTACGGCTTTCCCTTTGTTCGAGGACAGCTACGACAAAGCTCTGGATCACACGGAGCCGCAGTTCATTGAGGCTTCTTATGGCCAGCTCCGGGAGTGTGCGGAACAGTACAAACAACACCCGAACACCATCGAACACCGGTCACCAGGTGCCGATAGTGGAGCTGCTCCCTGAGAAGTGGCACTCGGACTACGTGCGCGCTTGTGGAGGCCAGCACCGACAAAACTCAAGCCAAGAGATGGGCAAGCGCACTGCAACTTCTGAGGTGGTGAGCGAGGGGACCAGACCCGGATCAACGACCTGGGCCCCTACAGGTGGTCTTGCACATTTGTCCTGTGCCTTTCTCAGTTTTACATAGACTCTGCCCATTGTGCTGCCAGCAGGCCTCACATACCGAAAGTCTGAGGCCCGCGAGAAAATGTGTCGGGCAGCCATGAATCCAACATGTGAGCAGCTCGCGTTTGCATTGCACGGCCTGCTGTTTCATCCGCGCTGGTTCGCTCGAAGGCTGCTACCTGGCAGACGAGTCAAGTAGCAGATGAAAGATGTTTTCGTTTCAGCATCGTGGCATAGCACCTGTATCCACGCACATGTGCCTATGGAGCGGAGCACCACAGCGAAACATTGGCAGCAAAAGGCAAAAAGAGTGGTCCTGGTGTGAAGCTTTTCGGTGAAGTGAGCTTGTTGAAAGAAGAAACTGTAGTTGACCATATTCTCTTCTTTATTTCGCCGAGGGAAGAGGTCGGGGGCTTTCGACGCCATGGAAGTGCTTTCCTGTACAGCCTGCCCAAGCGATCCAAGTGGTCCACGTCTTCGCGGTCTTCGTGCCCCAAGAGCCTCAAGCAACCTGAGGAGAGCTGTGAACTCAGATTGTACGGTGACATGGGGTCAACGCCCTCGTCGCTGGATGCAATGGCCCCTGGCTGTCATGCTACTGCCAGAAGCTGCCGTGGGGCAGGCTCCGGGCAAGGCTTGCCAATGTGACTTTGCAGACAACAACTGGATCCACGAGATAACTTCCATGCTGCAACATGTCGAAGACCTTCCCAACGCATTGCAGAACCCTGAGGCTTCCTCTACAAAGTGGATCCTCAGTCAGTCATGCGAGGAGGATGCTTCCAAGTTTCCGAACACGGATTTGGCATTTGACATTCAAAACCAGGAAATCAAGTGCCTGACAGAGCACACAGCTATGTCAATGGTCTGTGCTCAGCAATGGATAGCCAAAAAGTCCTTGATGGGAGTTGTCAAGTGGGTAACGAGGATCAATGAGCTTCTGCAGCTTGTGGCAGGCTGCATGGATGCCCATAGCCCTATTCCCTTTCGTGCCGACGATTTCCAGACCTACTTGGAGCGATTTGCTGGCGGCGTGCCTCCTCCCCAACATCCGTCCTTCGTTCAGACACTCGCGTGGCCAACGAAGGCAAGCAGGAAAACAGCATCTGAGACGAAGCTCCCTTTCCTGGACTGCATCCCACTGAAGGACCCTACGTGCTTCCCGAAGCACACCTCCAATCCATTTGAGAGCTGCTCCGAATGCTGCAACCGAAATCGTGGCCCCACGGGTCAAGTTCAGTGTTGGCAGTCGGGCTTCGACTTCGCTCGGTGCTGTGCCTCGGAGGCCTCAGAGGGCGGCTCTGAGGCGTCCAGCTGCCCAAACCCGGATGCCACGCTGCAGAAGAGCCTAGAAGAGGAGAGGCTGAAGAAGGAGGAGATCTCAAAGCAGCTTGCGAGGTGCCAGACAGACCAAGAGAAGGCACATGCCCGGGAGCAGGAAGCAGAGAAGGCGACCGACCTGGCAAAGACTCAGGCCGAAGCGATGAAGGCCGAGACCGCCAAGCTCAAGGAGACGGCGGAGGCCTGCACTGTTTAAGGAGCCCCTAGCAGGCCCTAGCAGCCCTAGCACAGGCGGTACATGGCAGCTGCAGACTCTTCAGCCCGCAGGCCGCCGCTGCGGAAGTCGAAGATCTGAAGAAGAAACTTGCCGAAGCGGGTGCCAAGGAGAAGGAGCTCACAGAGGAGGTGAAGAAGCTACAAGCTGCTGCTTCCTCGGCAGAGGACCTGAAAAAGCTACAGGCCCAGCTGAAGGAGGCAGAAGCAAAACGACAGCAAGAAACGAAGAAGCTCCAAGACCAGTGCAACGAACAGGTTGCACAGACGAACAAGAAAAAGGACAGGTACTGGAAGCTGAGATGCCAGCGTCGATCGGCTTATGCCTGATTTCCTAGCTGTCTTTGGCATGTGTATTTGCGGCGTTGTGCAGGACGTAGAGATTCAGAAGATGCAGTCTGAGCTCAAGGAGGCTCCGGCTTTAATGAGTGAAGGTCACATGAGGGCTGCACATGTCCGGGAACGAACTCTAGGCGAGCAGAGCGGTGAGAGCACAGAGTGCGCGAAGGCTGGCCAAGCCAAGCAGCTTCAGTCGGATCTTCAGAAGATTAAGACGGATCTAGCAAAGGCCAACGAGATGCTCGGCTCGTTTTAAAAGAAGGGGACAGGGGGCATCGGGCAGTTTTTTCTTCGGTGACCGTCCGAGGAAGTCCAAGCAGGATGCCAGTGAAATCCAAAAGCTTCGGGCAGAGTTGGAGAAGAGCAAAACCGAGAAGGGCAAGGGCGAAGCGCAGGGCCAAGGCCAAGGGGCTAACAAGGAGCTGGAAAAGCTGCGGAGCGACGTTGCCACCGTCCCTTGGTCAGAAGCTGAAGTTGAGCTGCTTTCTCTCCGTGCTTCCTTGTTACGGTAAGGCAAGCGGCAAAGCCAAGCAAGATGCTGCCAGCATCCAGAAGCTTCAGAACGAGCTGGTGGCACACAAACAGCAGTGCGATACGGAGAAGAAGAAGATCACTGGTGATGGGGCCAAAGTGGCCGCCGAGTGCCAAACAAAAAGCAAAGCCACAGAAGCGGAGCTCCTCGGCTTTGGACCGGGCCATTGGGGAGGGGTTTAGGGCCGAAGCGGATGTTTGGACCAAGGCTGCAGAAGCTGCAAGTCGAGATCAAGAAAAGGCATCTTGGCTGGATGGCCAGGTGACATGCTTAACTGGCAGAAGTTCATCGCTGCAATGACGGCGTCGGAAGCCTCTGCTGCTAGTATGTGTCCGGCTGGCGGGAGTGGGTCTGCAACGGTATTGGGCTTCAGCATGCTCATCATTTTGTCATTCGGTGCTCCGCAGGTATTCCTACTGTTGACATAAATCCTGCATTACCTTAAGGTCTCTCTAAACCAAGGGAATTATGGTATGTTCCTTATCATGGGTAATGCAGGATTTATATCATCAACCGTAGTGTGCTTTCGTGTTTCCCGTGCTTGTGTGTCTTCGCGGGTTGGGTACACAACGCATGTGCCGGCTGCAGACGCGGGCCCGTGCCCTGCATGATGTTGCAGCCTTAAGGCAAACCGAGAAGGAGCTGTGCAGCCCGTTGTCTCGGACATCCGACGAGTTGCAGAAGGAGCTCAAAAGCCTTCTGGGCATGGGACCTGGACGTTGAAAGCCCAGGCACGATCCGGGACGCAGACTGAACTGGCAGTTGCCGGTCTTGCTGTCAGGTGTGCCAAAGATGCGCAGCCGGGGCTGGTGGTATTGAAGCAGTTCAGTTAGCAAGGTCCCTTTTGCAGGGTCCTCCGGAGAGCTTGACCCTGCTGGGTCCCTAAATCGGGGCCTTTGTCTGCTCCTATTTAGTCGAGCAGCCAGTTGCCAAGGGAGTTGATCTTCTCGCACCTAAGCTCGATTCCTTGCGAGGTAGCTGCAAGAAGGATTTGGGTATGTCTCAACCTGTGCCATCGACTGTGCCTTACAGCTGTGAGCATCTTCTCGGATGGTCACTTGAAATTGGACATGTGCATGTCCTTCGTTGTGAGACATAGCCGCTTCCTGATGTGTTGAATGACTTCAGCTCATGCCTACGTGCTTCTAGATTCCCCAATGGCTCCTTGGGTTGGTTTCGTCAGAACTATGCATTCGGACATCAAGCTATTCGGGGAATCTCTGGACCTCCCAGCACAAACATGAAAAGAGGGGCCCGGGCTGCATCGCATCGATCGCGGAGCCATGCAAGACTGTTCTATCAGTGGCTCAGCCTCCCGCCGCCTTGCAGCTTCAAACATATTGGTGGACCTCCTTCTGCTTGCTTGCAGAGGCAGCATCGTGAAGAGGCGGACCGGTTCGCAGTCGTCACATGTGCCCCTAAGTTGTCGGAGAGTAGATCTGGCATATCACCGTGATCATTAGTCTGCAACAAGCTGCTAGTTCGAAAAAGCCAGAAGATGTGGCCATGGCGGGTTCGCGAGGGATCGCAGAAGAAAAACAGAATGGTCCTCGGACACGCAGCAGCAGTCGTCGACGCAAGATCAAAGCAGAGTTAGAGGCCCGCGACCGGAACTCCAAAGAAGCATGGGAACTTCAGCAAGAACTGCTGAAGGAGGGTGCGAGCTCTTCTTTAATGGAGGCTGCACGCCAGCTGTTGCAGACGGAGCACTACCAAGCTGTTGTGGAGGAAAGGTCTTTGGATGGCCTTTGTGGCTATCCACCTTGCAGCAAGCCCGCTCAAGCGTTGCCGGCACAGCAGCGATGGTCGGTAAGTTATGGTTCCAGGGAGGTGATTAGTGCCGAAGAGCTCCGGAAGTACTGCGGCCCGGATTGCAGAATGGCGAGCTCCAGGTTCTGCACCAGCTTGCAGCCGGATCCCGTGTACATTCGGCCGGATTCTGCTGTGTTGCGCGCGAAGCAGGCGATTGCTGGACGACAGCCTCACACAGAACAGGCAGAGACCACAGCGGAGCCGAAGGAGACGAAAGTCAGAGGAACGCCAGAGCAGGCAGAGCCGCCAAAGGTTCGCCCTCGGGCGGTCGTCCGATTCTCTCGGGAGAAGCAGGTCTACACCGTCCACTACCACGAGTACGACGGTGGCGGTGCACTGCCAGACGTGCCCCCCATCAAAGACGAACCCCTCGATCCCGGCCGCGCCCGAACGCGATCGTTGGTGCGGGAACGGCCGACGGCCGACGACGTCGCCGAGCAGGAAGCCAGGTCGCCCCAGGAGCTGAAAGAGCCGTCTTCTGATCCGGACGACGACGCCGCTGGTGACGAGAGCGCGGCTGCCTCAGGTTGGGGAACCCTTTGCATTCCCCTCCGGCACGAATGCTTGCAAGGATGCGGATGACGACTTCTACGATCCGAGTGCCGCAGCCTCAGTCACTGCAGCACGAGATACGGTGTGAACTTGGCATGCTTGCACGGCATACTATAGGCTTTCGGGACAGTTTTGGAACGGCGGCTGAGGTGAAGCTGGATGGCAAGCCTGCGACCAATGACATCACTGCATCATGCACGGACTGCTGAATGCCATAAACACTGCAAGTGAGGTCGGAGCTTGCATGGGTCAGGGCATGGGGAGCCTGGCGCCCGGGTGACAAATGAGATATCCCAGACTCTGCAGATTTTCCTTCCGAGATCCTGAGCGCTTGGCTAAGCGAGCCGGCCAGGGCCCTGCTGGCAGGCCCTGGCAGAGGGACACCCCAGAGAGGTCTGGCGCAGCATGGCGGAGCTCGCCCCTTTTTTCCAGGAGCGCGAGAGGAGGGTATACGGGAGGAAAGGCGGCCCGGACACAAGGCCGAGACGAGTCTTCTCCGTGAGTGTGAGAAGGCATAGCATCCTGAGAGGGTCGGCGAGACCTCCTCATCGAGCTGCTGACCTCCCGACTTCCCGGGGACCGAGCGGAGAATTCGGGCCGAGACAAGTTTTCAGTCCTTAAGACTTTGGCAGTACGCATGGGATGCTTGCTTCGAGTCGATCTCGCTTCTGCTGGAGACGGGAGCCTTCCCGGGGTCCGCGTGGCAGGAGCTGTCCTTTCTCGCAGGGCGCTTCTACGAGCTCGTCCGAGCCCAAGACACCCGAGAGTGGCCTAGCATCCGAGATAAGTCAGATAAGTGCGTGTCGAGGGGAAGAGAGCTCGGCCCAGGCCTCCGCTTTGTCTGTCCACCAGACCTTGCCTTCCGTGACCGAGCACCGGCTCTACGACCTGCTTGCAGCGACTTGCAATGAAAGAGAGCAAAACGGAACGGTGAGTCAACGCACCACACAAGTCCTGGGCTGAGATCAGCCCACATTCATCGACTGTGATCTGATGTTTTAGGCCATCTTGATTCGACGGCTCTACGAGAGCGACGCCGCAACAGGCACCCCCTGCAAGCTGCATCAGTCTAGGCAGAGCTGGCAGTCTGCTCCAGCCAGCATGGTACGAAGACAAACGCGCTCTTGGCCCCTGGGCGTTTTGTCGATGATTGCCAGCTGAACCTGAGATTACCAAATGGTTGATTGTATCAGTTCTAGTGCGAGTTCGCCGCAATCGCAGGATTGCAGCCGGACAGCTACGTCCTGAAAAGATTGAATCACCAAGTGGAGGTGACACGTGCTGTCGAAGCGTCGATTGCGTGTGGGCGCAGCGACAGTCACAGCATCCGTGGCAACCCATGTCCAGGAAGCTGCGAAAGCCTTCGGCATCAGCGATCAGGAATCGGCATCGTCCATCATCTTAGTCACCCATCAGCCAGTCCCACTCCTTGATACGTGCGTTTGAGAGGAGCTCCAAGTGCTGCTGCAACTGGTGCAAGGAGATGCTGCCCGGTGACGAAAAGGCATATCTTGAGAAGCTTCATGAAGCCACGCGAAGACATTGTTGGATGCATCCTGCTCACGTGTTGGCTTCCTCTGTTATGGCGCTCACAGTCAATACGAAGTTGGTCATGCTGTCTAGTGCCGAGTCCAAGCTACGAGCTCTTCCGGTGGCTCCGCACTTGTCTTTGAAGCAAGTGCAAGCACGGCCTTCAATATCATGAGCAATCATGATCCCAAGGCATTTGTCTTTGCAGAACATCCTAAGAACCTTCAATTCTTTAAGCTGCTGCAAAGTTACGATGGCACTTCGGGCGCTTCGAGGCGGGCCTGCCTGGTGCCTGGGTACCAGCCTCGGGACTGCGGCGCCGCTTTGCCAGGAACCAGGCAGCTGCAGGCCGCACTCTCCTTGAGACGCGGTGGAGGCCTGGGCAAAGCACCAAACCATACCAAACCTTAACCGCCGGCGAGTGCTCGCAGACTCATTGCCCATCCTTTTGAGAGGTCAGCTGCCGCTCCCGGCCGTCAGATGGCACAAGACAGGCTGAGACTGAGATCCACTCTGAAGGCTCATCACGGGATTTCTGTTTCGCTGAGTTGCTGCCGATGACGGCGCCGAGAAGATCAGCGCCGCCCTCAGCAGCGGGAAGGAGTGGTCCATCGCGTGACCCACAGAGGGGCCAAGTGCCGCCCGCATCATCTGAAGGCTTCCACTTCAAGCTCCGCGACGGCTCTCGCAAGACTGCCGGTGTCGAAGACACTGACGGCCGAAAAGCACAGGGAAGTCTGGAGGGTTTTCAAGCTGAGGTCTCGGTGCCTTCAGGGGTCACAGTGCTGGAGGCTGCACACATGAACGAGGCAGCAGGAGTTCCTAGTCTCCAGGAACCGGTGCTTTCGAATTCATGGTGCAGGTTGACTTGGAGGGTGCTTGCGAAGCATCATTGGCTTGCTCCACCTGCCACGTCATCCTCAACACGGACCATGAAAGTGAGACCGACAGGGTTGCCACTCGCAGATGCTTTAGTATGCCCGTCCAGGACACCTACGAAAGCTGCGGTGAGCCTACTGAGAAGGAAGAGGACACCAGACTGTTCCATCTGCTCCCAACCACAACATGCTTGTGCATGTCTTCCGAGGACCTGCTGGACCTTGCACCCTGTTTGACACCCACTTCGCGGCTTGCATGCCAGGCAGAAAGCCGAAGGTGAGGCGAAGGTGAGGCGAAGTCCACAAAGCCTTGAAAGGTGGTCGTCGACAAGAAGCTACAGGACCACGAGGTGACCCTGCCGGCCATGACCTTGAACTTCTATGCCGGACGCCGAGACGTGCCTGAGCTGTCCGAAGCTGCCGTCAGAAACTGATTGCAGGTAGATGGTCATGTTCCTACGCCTCACTGAGCATTCTCGACGTGAGTTCCGCAGTTTAGCCAGGGCAAGCATTTCCGAGATGTTTTTCGGCTGTTAGCTGAATTGCTATACCCGGCCCTCATACCCCGGCCCCTGCCAGCAGTAGCAAAAGGACCGCCTGGGATTGAACTTTCGGCACTTCAGCAATCCGCTTATGGGTCGGTAGGGATAGATCAGTTGCCCTCCGAACATCTGCCGCCTTTGCATCTTCCAGCTCTGTGGCAAACTATCTGCGTGGTTGTCAAGCCCAGGGTCCCCTTTTGGCTTCCCAAACTACAGGGTGCCGTATCAAGAGCAGAAAATATCGGGTTTCCCAAGACAGCCATGATTTTCACAATTACCTCTCTGTTTTACTCTTCCGGGTGGCGTCTGGCCTCACTTTGCCCGTAGCTGCAACCTAGGCCTGGTACTGTGGGACGCGCCGCAAGTAGAAGGTGATTTCTGCAATGGACTGCGCGTTCGCGAGCCGGAATGCAGCGACTCATGCAGTTGCCAGCAGGCCATCAGGTTTCCAGCTTCAAAGCCGCCTGCGTTGTCGTTCTTGTCAGTATTCGGGATATGCATGGAGAGGTACGGGCACCGAAACTTGTAACAGCTGCATTCTCGACACCGATTGCATGTCAGGCCAGCGGGGGCTTCACCGCCTGCAGTCGCGCCGCATGAGCATCATGGTGCGCTTAGATTCGGGCAGCTGCCGTTCCAGCACTTGGAGCAGGTAAGACTACAAAGGTTGATGGATTGCAGGAGCGCTATCGAAAAGTACGACCAGTTCCCGAACGGCCCGCCCACCCCTGGGTGTTGCTGACGTGTTGGCTCGGCGCGGTGATGCGCGGTGCTGGCTTTTGCTTTTGAAAGCGAGGCCTCCAGCAACACGCCAGGCCCGGCCACCAGAGACGGAAGCGGAAGCCAGTGTCGCAGCTGAAGATCAGGACATCTTCCATCCTTGTCGTGGCACTCGTCTAGTCGTGGTATCCAACAACAGAATGGAATTTCGGACTGCTATGGTCCACAGCTGTTAAACAAGGATCAAGGAAATTCACGAGCATAAACGCATGCACGAATAATGCAGGATAATACAGGTACCGAGCTTTTCGACGCGCGACACGACAGTCCGGCAGCAGCAGCGGCTGGCATCATGGCCTGGCGAGCAGCGTTTCTTTGGTTTTCTCTGGATCGAGCAGCCGCTTTCGACTTCGATGCGGACCTGACGCATTGGCAGCAGACAGCAGAACAATCTTCTGCCGTGCTGTATTGATACTTCCAACTGCTCTGTCTTGGCTCGCCGTCAGGAAACAGGATCTGACAAAATGGTGGGGCAAGGCTGCTCGTATGCACACACTTGTATGCGATTTCTGTACACCTGCTCGGCCTGGAGCTATTGCATGCTATTGCTCCAGAGTGCGCCAGTCAGATATAGTCTCTTCGGAGCAACCAGGAAGTCATGTACTCCGTGACCTCCCACGGCTGTCTGATGTCCTCGCAAGGCGGCTTTTGAAGGTGCCGTCCAAAGCGCGCACCACGATGTTCACCTTGCAGGCGCAGATGTGTGCCGACTCGGGTACCTGCTCCAGTACAGCATACTGCCATACAGCAAAGCAGCAGGCTTCTTGCATTCGGTTTGAAGTCGACGATTCTGCGCGTTTGTTCTAGTTACTTTCATTTTCTTGTTGTGTTTTGGAAAGTTGTAGCGTTTTCTCTGCTTCTCTGCTTCTGGCTCCGTGGTTTCTGGCTCCGGGCTTCCTGTGGTGGTCTCTTGGAATCCTGGAAAGCCTAAACCCTAAACCCTTAACCCTTAACCCCAAAGCCTAAGCTCCTAAACCCCAATAACCCCGAAACCCCAAACCCTAGACCCCCAAAGTGTCTGCCAGATGCTTGCACGATGCCTGAGAGGATACACCCTCTGCAGCCCGGCTGCGCAGCGTGCCGAGAGCACCTTGCGCAGGCTGCTGCGCCGCCACCAATCAGGACGGCACGGGTGCCGGGCTCGCAGTGCTTACTGCATGTTGCTGCTATTGCCGAGATGTCCACGGCAGTTTTCATATCCCTGAAATTACTTGCTCACATCGTTCATAGAAGCCAGATCGACAGAGTCGGCGATCTGAAACACTGGCTGAACACCCTCTCAAGTCGCTGCACACCGCCCAAGCTTGTCCCTTGCTTCTGGGCCTCATGCAGGTGGTGCCTGCTCTGGGTTGCCGGTAGCGATCGCTCAGCATGCTTGGCGGTACACAGAGGACCTTTGGAAACACAATGGACGGACACGCCAAGCTGCAACACAGAGGGTGTCCTTTGTCCAGGAAGAGCTCGACCGATGCCTGGACCTTGCGCCTGGCGAAAGTTGCACCATGGCCTGCCAGGTTGGGGTAACATCGAAGTTGCATTTGTGTCCGGCTTCCTGTGGGCCACAGGATTTTCCTGACCTTCAAGCAGCCTTGAAGTGCGATGGAGCCAACCTTACAGGCCAAAACGCCGAGCGATGTTGAGACGTAGCAGTCAGCTTGCTCGATTTCGTGATCCAGGCATTTCACCACCCGGTGACTGCAGGCACCAGGCCTGGAGCTTCGATGAGCTCCGCTTCGATTCGAGTGATCCTCCGCCGCTTCTCGCTGCCAGTTTGACCCGGACATTGTGCACGCACCGAGTGGATCAGTGACGGGCCTCCTTCGCCGGATCCCACTGAAATGGCCCTCTGGCGAGGCCACGGGCTCTTAAGACGGATTTCTCCCGTTAAAGGCTGTTTCTGCTAGCAGGAAACATCAGCGCTGGTGCGCACATTCTGGGGGATTCCCTATGGTAACTTGGCCCTTGACGGCTCGCTGACCAGGAAGTTTTGGGTCTGCGGCTCCTGGAACTGAGGTGAAGAGCCAGTGCGGTTTCAGGCAGCAAAAGCAAAGGCGAAGTGGACGGGAGTGAGGGCTTCCGCCGAGACTTCACTGAACAGCCCAAGCCATCTCATCAGTGTCCAAGGGGGCAACTGGGCCAGCAGTCTCCCAGTGCTCAGGACTTCTATGTCGAGTCACCTGGCGTCATTCTGGTGGGCTGCAGCGTGGCTTCTGGTGTGAAGTACAACATAGTAGACTTATCCGAGGCAGCCGGTGCTTTGTCCGAACTTACCTCCTCTGGGAAGGTCAGGTGATGCCCGAGAGGCCTGTCGTGAAAACACTCTCTGCATGTCACCATCAGTTCACTGGATCTCTTGCAGGACTGCTTGCAACTCCACGTGTATGCACCACATGCGCCTGCCGGGACCCGAAACAACATGCAGGCTGCTGCTACGTGTCGGGGTTTCAAGAGCCATGAACATTCGACTGCCAAGTGCGGCTGAGGCGCCCAAGCCAAGACCGGTCTTTGTTTTCCTGATTCCAGGCAGGGACCTTTTGCTAGAGCCAGTGACTGATGGCTGATTCTGATCTCAACTGCCAGGAGGCTTTATCGGCACCGACTTCTTCCAGAAGGGCTGGTACGATGGGGCACGTTTTGCTGCAGCCTCCTTATTCGCGTAGGTCCTCCCTCATTATGTGACAGTGCACACTGACAGTTTCAGGTCCGAAACGATGCAATTTTCATAAGCGTCGGTTACCGAAGTGGCTTCCTTGGCCACTGGGTTCACGAGCAGCTTGCCGAGGAGGAGCTCTTTGGTCTCTTTGCTTGCTCGGCGTCTCGAAGCCCCCGCGCCCTATGCTTTATTGTGAGGATCCCGATGGGAGCACCGGAAACTACGAAGCATTGGACCAGAGGCGTTGCCACAGCTCCCTGTGATAGGTCAGAGGGGTACTCGTGTCGCAGGCTGGCGCTGCAATGGCCCCTCAGACAAAATGACACAGGAAGTGTCAACGAGTTGCCAGGGTTCTGAATGACCCGTGGCGATCGTGGATACATGTGGATACGTAGATGCGAACTGAGGGTGCAGAAGAACATCCAGAGCTTCGGTGGTGATCCAGGCACTGCGACCGTGCAGATGATCAGCATGCTGTTCTTGAGGGCTGGAACGCATGTGTTCGCGAAGAAATGATCTGTCGCGTCGCGTCCAGGCCGTGTCACTTTGGCGGGACATTCCTCCGGGGCCTTCTCCGTGAATTTCCACTTGCTGAGCCCGGGCAGCCGCGGTCTCTTTGCCCACGGCATCCTGGAGGGCACGGCCCTGGAGTCATGGCAGGGACTGGGACAGTGTTTTTGGGGGATTGTTTAGTTGCAGGCTTTTGAAAGCAGTGCGGCTCCTGCGTGCTTAGGACAGCGGATGGTATTATAGCACCAAGGACGCAGCCTACAAAAGAAGCCTGGTGCTGGTAGGCATCTCCTGCCTTCGTCCCCGTCGGCAGTCGTGACATCTGCCGCCTGCAGGAGGATGGCCTCAAATTCTATGCCACTCTGGCCGAGCAGCTTGGCTGTCCCGGTGCGGACCAGATCCGGTGCTTGCGGGCTTTGCCGGTGAGCAGCTTCTACAACTTCTCCAACGTCACCTTCCACGAGGCCCTCCGGTGTCGGATGGGAGCTCTCGTGCCCTATTTCGCTTCTTCGGAGGAGCTGGGGAAGATCAAGGGCCTTGGCAAATGGGGCCTGGCCAAGAGCCTCGCCGAGGCGGCCTGGTCCGCCTTGGGCTTCCAGGCGCCGCCAAGCGCCCGCTTTCGCAGCCCTCGCTCTCTGCAGTCCACGCTCTGTCTCTGCTCTGTGCCTCAGGGCAGCTTCCGCTCCAAAGGCTTGCAGCTGGGCGCCGCTCGGCTGATGCGGGTTTGACCCGACCCCAGGAGCCTGCGCAAGCCTCCAGTCTCGCCTCAAGGATGTGCCCATCCTTGCCGGGCCTCTGTGGCCAGTTCTGCCTGTTGGCTCGGGCCCAAGAGGGCCCCCTGCTGCAGGAGACAAAATGCTACTGCTAGTTACTCGTTGCGTGCAGTTGTCTTGGTGATTTGTCTCACCATGTCTCACCCAACCGGTGCTGACTTCTACAACAGCTTTTTGTTAGATTCGGTTCCCCTTTGCGGAATTGGGAGGGGCAGCACATGAAGTTGCAACCAACTCGGCAACCAACTCGGGGTTTGCTAGCTTCCAATTATTCCCAAATCAAACACTGTCCGAACCTGCTCTGCTTGGTGATCCTACCCTGCTACGACGCATTTTCTTGCCCGGGAACTTGCTCAGAATGATCAGACACACACTGCATACACCTGCCAAAACCATGGAGGCTTTGTTGTTGATGGGTCGGAAGCTGGTTTACCAGCACCGCCTCGTCTCCTCTACGAGAGCGGCCGCGTCAACCCTGCCAAGGCACGAAGCTGCAGCATTGCTCTTGTGCTAATGGCACAATGTTAACGTAGTTCCCGGCAGCTTCCAGCTTTCCCTGCAGAACGGCGTCCACGTCAGGTTTATCTCAACCACGGCACCGATGAAGGAACTGTCTTCGCCCTCATCATGTATGCAGCATACCCCTGGTACGAGGCGAATATTGCTTAGGGTAGCGAGAACTGTCGCTTCCGTCGGGCTGGCTTCCACTGTCCTCTCAGATCCTTTCAGTGCATTCCACGAGCGCCACCTGACTTTGTCTCGCAGTATGGCTGCACATTGTCTCCATGTTTTCCCATGCGTGCGCGCAACTCGTTGCTCGATGGAGGCTCCATCCCTCTCCCATGCAGCGACCGACGAAATCATGACCGAAGCACTGCTCACTGAGCAGTGCTCTGTAGATCTGCCACAGCGCACATGATGATGGAGACTGCATAAAATTGCAGCGCCGGTTTGCAGGACCTGGGCCTTCAATTCATCTGTTCCACAGCTCTACCCGTGTCCTGGCCGCAAAACCAAGTCCTGTTTGTCGAATCTAGTGTCGTGCGCTTCCGGCTCAACTTCAGGCATGGACGTGGAGATTCTGCCCCGTTCTATCGCATGAGTAGGGCGCATGCCCCAGTTGGACGACACGCCATGCGTCTCACGCTTCATAGATCCACAGCGTTGTTCGAGGCGATCGCCGACAGCACTTTTGTGTGCCCTCACCGACGCTATGCAAGTGCACTCTCAAAGCCGTGGCCCCAGCAACTTTTCACGGTCTTCGCACCAATGGCTGGGGCTGCAGAAGGGGAACACTGGCCGGGGCTGCAGAGGATTTCTGGCATGGTTGCACTCCAGGCAGATGCCGAACTCAGTCTTCTATGCTGAGACTACCTTTGCTGGAGACGACATGCAAGACAGCAACTGGCTGTCAGCAGCAATTCACAGAACCTTGGGCATAACTTTATCTTATTCGCTGGCAAGCACTGTGGCAGATGCTTGTTGCTCAACTCAAGATGACTTGGCAAGACCAGGAGACTTGTCATACTTCGTCGGAGCCTGGCACATGAACCAGGCGCAAGACGACGTGAGCTTCTCATACAGTGTGAGGCTGCTGGTGGATGTTGACTGACTGCTCCAAAATCTGAAGGTGCTATGGATATTTGGTGTGAACGACACACTCAAAGTGTGCAACAGCCGTTCGGCAGATCAGAAGCACCTGTGAAAGTTGAAAGGCGGACGAGTGCCGGACGAGCTTCTTCCGTTTTAGGGCAGCGGGCCGTGCGTCTCAGAAGCTGAGGTACGAAGCAAACGAACCTCGGCTTCGATTATGCGTCATGGCGTTCAGAAGACGAGCTCATGCACCAACTGGTCAATTGCCGCTATGCGCCTCGGTCGAGCCTGCTAACTCTGGGTCCTGCACGGTGGTTCATTGCCCAGCCCAAGCTCGAGGCGCTCTTCGCGCACTGTGGCAACCCTGATGCGTCGAGCAACTCATCCTGCGCCCAAGACGTGCTCAAGCTTCACAGCTGCAGAAGCACCTATGGCCTACCCCACGGTGTCTCGGCAGCACTGCTGGTCTGCTGATGCTTGTTTTCCCTCTGGCGATGACACATGTCATGCGCATGCATTGTGCTGAGGTGCGTTGACTCCAAGACCCTTCCCTCCCTTCGAGAAAGCCGAAGGGGGAGCGCGCTTCGCAATGACGCCCTACGGGGAGCCCAAGCTCGTAAGCCCCAGCGCGGAGGCCAGGTCGGCAGAGAACTCGCGTCGCCTCACGGCTTACATCCGTTTACAGTTTGCCATTGCTATTGGTCGAGCCATGTCAAGCCTGTGAGGAGGAGCGGGTGTGTGCCTGGTGGGACGCTGCGGGACCTACGCATTTCATCACGTCAGCTTGCCGCGGATGTGCAGCCCACCACGTCAAGGACACGGCGAGGGCCTCTCAGGTCTATCGATAGGTGCAAAGAAGAGGCCTGAAGAGAACGCCGTAGCCAGGGCAGGGCCCATCAGGGCCCATGAGGGGCCCAGGCCTGGCCCTGAACTCAATGCCGAGAAGTGGATGTTGCCGGCCATGTGCGACTGCCAGCTGCTAGCAGGAAGTTCAGGAAGTTCTCGTGTGAGCGGAGTGAGCGTCAAGTGTGCAATAATTAGGTGGAGATCCTTCTACATATTCTACACGCGGCATGATGACTCGCAGTCTGTGGTGACATTTGGTGACCCCAGGCCGAACAAACAGTAGTCGCTGTTGTTGGATTTGTTGGCAAGTCATCATGCCAGCTGTGTCCCAGCAGTTGGAACAGAACAGTGCGAGGCAGGTCGTGAGAGTGGGTCCCTAAACCAGCGCGCGCCAAATGGTGCAGCGAGGGAGCCAGCGCTCTGCCCACTGCTGAAAATCTACTAGTCATTGGCCGAGTCGCCAGTACTGCAAGGAGTTTGCGTTTTGTTTACCGCAAGGGCGGACGGAGGAGCCCCCTTTGGGGCTGTGGGACTCGGCCGATTGACTCCTGTACAGGCCCATGCTGGCGTCAAGTGATATTTCTCCAATACCTGCTAGGCTGCTAGGGCTGGCGGTGAGGGAACTTTCCCGCAACGGGGGACTGGAGTCTCTGTGTGCGGCTCCTTATGTTTGCCAGTCTGCTCAGTGACTGAAGCGTGGCGTTGCCGTAGGACCGTCGGCATTGTCTTGCTGAGCGGATGTTATCTTGCCTTGCTCAGAGGAGGTGGCAAAGCTTCTGCAACCGAGACGTCCTTTGTCGTACGTCTGCAGCTTGGTGCCACGCCAGGCCACGATAGACCACGCCTGTATCCTTCATTTGTCTCCCTTCCTTACGCCTTTGCCTTTGGCCGTTGAGGTCCGGGCCGCCGTTCCCTCGGAGGCTCAGTTTCGGACCTGGGATCCCCCGGCTCGGAGCCTAGCCCAGTGGCCCAAGGCGCCGCGACACGGTTGCCATGCCTTGCCTCCAGGTGCAGCCGGCGGAGCCGCGCTTGCTCCGTGTAGGACAGCCTGCACCATGAGCACCAGTGACAGTTGTGGGCCCGTGGGCGAAGGATTGATGGGCCCACCAAACGCCCCGCCCTCACTGCGAGACTAGTCCCTTGAATCGCAGTCGCAGTCTCCAAGGCCGGAAAGTCCTCGCTCATGAACATCATTCTGGACAGCTCTCCACTTAAACCTTGCCTTGGCACAGAGCAACTGATTCAAGAACAGAGTCTCACGAGTCGCTTAGATCCAATTAGCGCCGTGTCGCCAAAGGCAGCCGCTACTCGAGTGCATGTTGTGCACACGGGACCATGTTGGGACACTTGCATGTGGCGATGGAGCCTTCGGAAGTCCATTCGGTAGGTGAACACGACTCGTGAGAATGTGCGTGGCGTGAAGACGATCGGCCACACCCAGCTAATCTTCCTGGATGTGCCCGGGACGCCTGGGTGGTTCCCTGTAGTGTGCTCGCTGGATTAAAGGCATATGGCAATTCCTTAGTGAACAAAGTTGTCGCGACCCACGTGCCCTTCTAAAAATGCGCCGACGAGACCAGGCGCTGGGGCGAAACCAGGTGTTAGTAGATGAAGCCGAAGTACAAATCACGTGATAGTGCCGAGGGAATCGTTGCTTGGCAGTCTTGTAGTTGGTTCTTGTGTGGAGAGGGGCCGTTTTCTCGTGGTAGAATGTGCATTGTGCATTCTTAAGAATTATGGGCTCTCAATTGAGTGCTAGATGATGGCGAGCAGATTTGGTTGCGCTAGGCTACCTGAGCGAACCCCTCTAGCTTGCACCGAACGCTCCCAACCCTTGCACATCCCTTGTTCGCAGCGCTCGCATGATTGTTCCACTTTGGTTAGCAACTGATCCAAAAGTGCGTTTCCTGGGTGTGTGTGTGTGTGTGCAAAAAGGATGCTTTCAGGCATCAGACAAGAAGCATCAGACAACATCAGACAAGAACGCGAGTAGTGCTTGAAGAAGGTCTTCAATGCCGTAGCCATTTTGAGTTCAGTGATGAGTTCGTCCTGCTTCGCATTGTCACTCGACATCCCAGAAGTGGACATGTCTGCCTCGACTGAAGGATTGGGGATTCCACAGGAGAGTCAGGCTGTACACGTGACATTCCAAGAAGTGGCTAGGAATGGCTGCGACATAAGCAAGGCAGAATCCTTGCTTGGGTCTTTGCAATCGTATGCTAAGGCACGTTCAGAGAGCAAGCAGAACACGGCTATACAACACAGTGCTGAGATCATCAAACAGCAACTCGGCACCATTGAGGACCTGCGCAAACAGATAGAGGATCTGCGGGAGCAGAAAACACAGGAAGAGAAGCACGTGCATGGCACCAGTGATGGGCTGAACAAGCGGCGACCGAAGCGGAAAGCCGCTGAACAGGATGACGACAAAGAACACCGTGCTCCAAAGCAGCAGGCTCCGAAGCAGCAAGTGCATGAGAAGAAGCCGGTACACGAGGAGGTGCATGAGGAGAAACCGGTACAGGCTTCGTCATGGCCATGGACTCTTCGAAGAGCGACTTGAGGAAGGGCAGGGCCGCTTCGTAGTAGATCTCTCTTGTCTTTTGGCGTGCCACTAGCACTAGGGCAGGCTTGTGCCGAAGCATGAGTGAGTGGATTCGGTGTTCGAGTCGCTTGCTGTGGAACTCAGAGGCAAGAATGCACGCCATGACAACAGACACCAGGGAGAGACGTGGCTCCACCTCCAGCAGCTCTTTCTGGTACTGACAGAATCGCTGTCCGAGACCGGAGGATCTAGTTCTTCCGACCTGGTAGAAGGCGATGCCGTTGGCATCCACGGCTTCCAACAGGTGCACGATGTACCACATCCTCCACCGGCCTGCACTCCCTCAGCCTAACAAAGCTGGACAGCGAGGCTGAGGCTGTGTTCCACAATCCTATGTGGTACATCGCGCACCTGTTGGAAGCCGTGGATGCCAACGGCATCGCCTTCTACAAGGTCGGAAGAACTAGATCCTCCGGTCTCGGACAGCGATTCTGTCAGTACCAGAAAGAGCTGCTGGAGGTGGAGCCACGTCTCTCCCTGGTGTCTGTTGTCATGGCGTGCATTCTTGCCTCTGAGTTCCACAGCAAGCGACTCGAACACCGAATCCACTCACTCATGCTTCGGCACAAGCCTGCCCTAGTGCTAGTGGCACGCCAAAAGACAAGAGAGATCTACTACGAAGCGGCCCTGCCCTTCCTCAAGTCGCTCTTCGAAGAGTCCATGGCCATGACGAAAGAAGACTTCATCAATGAGCTCTCTTCAAAAACACTTACAACAAGTGTTTTTGGTGATGCACAGCAGGAGTATCCGGATGACAACACAACCGAGGTCGAGGAGACCGACGACTGAGTGTGTCTTGCACAGACCACAATCCGAGTGCTCCAAGCGTGCTGTCACCTCGTCAACTTCACAACGGAAGCTAGAAAGAACCGTTGCAGCTGCATTGGGCATGGGCGAGAATTCCTCCCCTTCTTTCACTTCCCCGGGTCTTGGCGCCTGGTCTACGCGGAGCGTCGAAATAACGGGGAATAGCCTCACGCCGCGAAGGATCATCCCATCCCATCAGAAGCTCGCCAACCGCGAGCTCGTTGCACAAGCTGCTTGGATTTCCATTATGAGCTACTTACATGGCACATGTTAAGTGAACCTGCGTTACCCCCGCTGAGGCATGGCAGGGATACCAGGAATGCGACGTCTGCCTGCTGGTGATCGATGTAGTCGGGGGCTTTCGTTGCATCGGAACGAGCACAAAGCCACGGCAGCGGACATAGTCTCATGGAATGGTTGAGCATTGCGTTATACTGTTTCGAAACCTTGAACACGTGCAGTCCTCCACAGTTCCACAGACTGAAGGTTCTGAGCACTGAAGCATGCACAACATTGCCTAACCTTGGTATGCAGTGAGGTGTTTGGATGCAAAAATAAAACTCGGCGCACATGGTGCTGTCGCAGTGTCGCCCGGCTGCCCCCTGCAGACACCCCACATTATCCTCTGAGTAGCACAGCTACATACAGGTATTAGATCCATGCGTAGTCCGTGCGAGCAGGTGCAACGGAAGAGCACAGCTTACCAAGAGCCTTCAACATGCTCACATAGTGACAATGTGATGTTACAGTGCCATCAAGGGTTCATGTCAGGCATGTGAGTGTCGCCAGGGCTTAACTCTTGAGACTTCGGAGTTGCTGCAGATACTTGCACCTGATCTGGTCTTCAGCCCACCTGACACAGCTGGCTTCGTCAATGCTCGCTATGTAACGTAGCCGCCTGAGATGACCAGAATGCAAAGTCTGAAAAAGGTGAAGAGACCGAATGCCGAAATCTTCGATGTGGTCCGCAAGATCTGTCCCAAAGAGGACATTGGAGAGGCAATCGAAGGGCAACAGTCCTGTGGAAGTGACATGACAAAGCGAGGGCGAGCATAGTTCGATCGAGACTGCCGCAGGCCGGGTTGCGGCGCCGCATGAGATCCTTGATGGAGGCAGCTGGAAAGCGCGCCTGCAAGAGCGAGCAGAGCGAAAGCCTTCCTCGGAGGTGAATGACGAGGGCGAGCGCGAGCTTCCCGCAGATGCCTACAACCTGCTGCTTTGAAGCCCAGTGGCATGCGTCCCGCATATCTCTGAAATCCGAGGGGTCCACTGCACCGAATCGAGGCCACGGTCTCTTCCCAGATGGGCTGGGAATTCCCTAACAACTCGGGCTCAGGCGCTAGCCGCAGACCACGAGCAGGACGTTGTGAGACCTCTCGCTGCTCAGGACAGACCTCCTGTGACACTGGTGCTCAACAAAGTCGACAAAGCTTCGGAGATGCGTTGGGCCGCTTTCCCAGTGCAATAGTGCCCTTACATCACTTGGACTTACACCAATGCCGCAAGAATTATCTCGTTTAGGGACCCTTGTGTCTGGCCGCAGCGTGTTCTTGCCAAGGTCATGTCCAGGGAGCGGGAGTTCCGAACACACGGTGGGCCCCCATTCCTCTCATTTGGAGCCCAACGTTGGTGCAGCACCGGGACTCTCCACCATGAGGCCAGTTCGATGGCATCTTCTACACCTCCGCCCTGAAAGCGAACGGGATTGACCTTAGCTCAGTGGTGCCGCGGCGGCGTCAGTGATTCGTCGCGTCGGCCCCTGAGGTGACTCTCTTGGAGCATTTGAAGCAAAGAGCAAAGCCAAGGCGACTCTTGAAGCCGGGAGCGAACAAAAATCCGAGGGATATCGAAACCTCTCTGGAGAGGCCCTGGCTCTATCCTGCCGAGATGATCACGACCATGTCTCATACAGAGCAAGTGAAGCATCTGGGCTGCCACTCCCGTTTCTGCATTTACAGCCTCGCCAGGGCCCTATAACTATAGTAGCGGAGCTCAGGCAAGTTGTGAACACTCACATCTTTAAAAGGCCGGTCTTTGGGACTTCATGCCCACACCCCAAGCCCACAGAGAGCAGGTTTAACTCCGACGTCCCCTACAAAATCGAGCAGCAGACGGTGGGTCGGCTCCTTGAAGGTTTTGGCTCTCAGCATTTGCAGCCCTGGTGCCATCAAAGGTTGGACCCCACGCTTGGATGGGTCGTTGGTGATTGAGCACGAAGTTATAGCTGCAGGCTTACTAGAACCCTCTTGCTGGGACCGGAGCCCAGGCGTAATCTTTTACTGAGGTCAAAGACTCGGTGGTGGCTCGCATGATTCTGGGTGTGCGAAACAGCGTCCTGCACGACTTGAAGCAGCAGGCGCGCATCTGGCGGGATCATATCACTTCGCCTTCACCTGCAACTCAGGTGAGCGACACCTTGCAGCTGCTTTGGGGAATCCCTGTCGAAGCCCGCATCTGGGTGAGGCGTGACGGCGCATGGGCCATGCGGCGCCTGGCAACCGGGCGAGGAACGTTCGTGGTTTGAATGCGGCCAGGCCTCTGAAGCAGCGCCTCAGCAAAAGCGACATGGCCCAGCTGGGCTACGAGTCACAGAGCTCAGAAAGCGACAGAGAGCGGCCCCCCGCCGAGCTGAGCCCGAGCCGAGGCCGAAGTGAGAAGAGAGCTCCGCTCAAAAGGATCCGCCCATGCTGCATTCCATGGCAGTCGTCATAGCCCTTGGCATGGCTCAATGCTCGCGAATGCTCGCGGGGGTCCACAGCTTCTCCAGCACTACCACCACAACCATCTACGACCCATTGCCATTGCCTGCTAGTGAATATTTCTCAGCACACAGCTGTCACATCTGTCACCATTTCTTCTTTAGACTCCTTTTTCTTTGTACCTGAGACACACACACACACAGAACGGCAGGTGGTCAGGTGTAGCCCACCGTGGGCATCAGAGAAAAGCACCATAGCAGCTAGCCAGAATACCGAAGCAGTCTGTCGCAATGGCAGTGCGGGCAGTAGTTGAGACCATGCTGCCTGGTGCCGACTTGTCCAAGCTCTAGGGCTTCATGTGCTTCGTCCGCAATAGTCAGCAATAGGGAGATGTGGTGATGAGTCGGGTCGGGAAAGGGTCGATGCCGGATCCAGCACGCGGCGAGTTTCGACGCAGGGACTTGCCGTCTCCTGCTGGGGATGCTGCAAGCTTCCAGCTCAGACTGTTGCGCGACGTGGCAATGCGGCAAGTGGAGGATCCTGAATTCTGGGGCTGGGGGTGCCTGGCGGCTCAAGGGCCACCGCAGCCCCCACGGATGGCAACTCCGTTTAGAGGTTCCAGGATGGTCAGCACCCACCCACCCACACACACACACACACGAACACACACGAACGACAAAGACAAAAGAGCAGCCTGCGCCCAGGCATAACCGCAGCCGATCCTTATGTACCATCATCAGCACCCTCTGACTGTAAAGGTCAGCAAATACAATTTGTGTAGACCGCTCCTCGAAGTTCGAAGTAGTCCCGATGATGCCTGGCACTTAGACTGCCTACAGCAGGCTCCCTGTTGTTGTGCAAGACTGCAGGCCTGCAGATGGCGATGATGTCTTCTCGCCGGATGATATGGAAGCCTACGACCTGGATAAGCTGGCTGCAGCTCGGGGTCAGGAGGGCGAAGGCGTCGAAGGCAGGGCGGGACTCAAAGCACGGTGCTCAGGAGCACTACCGCACGACACGCTGTGAGCTCGGACGGTCAGGCATGGATGTGCCGGCAGAGCGGGAGGCGACGGACTTGGGCACCGGCTTGGAAGGCCCAAAATCTCGCACACAAAAGGCTGTTGTGCGACTTGGGTGTAGTTATCGCTCTCTTTTGTGGCTCTCAGGCTTCGCAAAAGAGGATCTTAGTAGAGGTCCAGGCTTCAGAAAGGGCCTGCATTTAAAAGATGTCCACAATTTGCAAGTTCCAGGTGCGGAAGCGGAGAGGCCCCTGGGTGTGGAGGAATTGGGCGACACAGAGAGCCTTGACCCGGAGAATCTCAACGCAGAGAGCCCGAGCAACAACGCAGAGGATCGCTGAACTCGTAGGGCGGATCGGGATCGATCCTCCAGTTCTAGATTCTAGCTCCTAGCCTGGCTGATTTCCTGCAGGAGTTCAACGTGTTTCTGCAGAAGCTTCCTGGAATGAGGCCTTGCCGTCACGCTGCTTGCTGCTGACCCTTTTCCAAAGCTGTGATTAGAGGTTGGGCATGGAGTGTGTGCGGCTGGCCGCCACCTCAGACCTGTTGGAAAGCTTGGCCGCTGTCCCAGAGCAAACATTGGCAGGAAGGCGAGGTCGTCGTGCAGAACGTCGCAGAAGGCAACGGCTGCGGCAATACCCTGCCGGCGGACACGGTCCAAACACAGCTCTGCTAACCAACGCAGGCATGGTGGTGGGGGAATGGAATTCGAAGAACCCTGACAAAATCGTCAAGGCCTGGCGACGAGCAAAGTCATCATCAACCGCGTCTCTGATTAATTGATGCATCCAGGTCGGTGACGTTGTGCGGGCTGTGAACCAGCTTAGCGTTGATCTTGGACGACCTCTGTTCAGAGTGGAGAAGAGGGGCCTACACACAGACAGTTTCCATGCATTTCCATGCTAAAGCCGAGGTCCTACAGATACGCAGACGATGCTTGCCGAGCTCAGGAACCGTGCTCAGTCACGGGTAGAGCATGCCTTTGAGATTCTTTGTACTCAAAGCGATTCTTCAGAGGAATGCCGTCGTCCTCAACCTTCGCTTCGAACGTGGCCCCAGGGACCTGTCCAAGGCGAAGGCCCGAAACCGGACTCTCGCTCTCTCTCTCTCTCTCTCCCTCCCTCCTGTCGCTTAGGCATTTGGAGCTGTCATGCCTATGGGGAGCAAGAAGTACAAGTAACAAGTACAACATGACGGTTTGCGGCATACCCCAGGAAAACAACGAGGACCCGCCGTCGCTGATCAAGCCGCCGGCAGCCTCAGTGAAGCCCAGGAGAGAGCCGCGCCAGCACCTGAGCCGCAGCCGCAGCTGAGGTCCGGAGGTGACCTGATCCGGATGGCGCAGAGGAAGCTGATGGAGGTCACGTGGGACATGTAGTCGTCTGCATCTGCCACGCAAAACGCCTGGCTTTGCTGCACGATATCGCTTCTGCAGGAACAAAACCAGCAACGAGCACATGCGATGCAAGATGTCACAAGGCGAGACGCCAATATGCATCAATCAGGGATGGGCGCATTCCGCGCAGACTGTGCTTCTACAGCGCCTATGGCATTTTGCCTGCGAGGAGTGGTGCAACAGAGGCACTTCCTAGACCGACATGGCAGGCCAGTGGTCTTCACTTTCCCAGGAGGGCGCGAGACTTTTGTTAAACTCCTGAGACTTTGTGAGGCAGCGTCCGAGTGGACCTTGGATGGCCGTGTCTGTGAAGACACTTGAAGTCACTGGAGGTATGCTAGCCAACTTCATTCAATTCCGGCTACCTGTGCAGTCAATGTCGTCGGGTTGGAACGGGCCGAAATCCACGGGTGTATCAAACTGTTAAGCGTACGGTCCTTTGTGGGTTTTCTCCGTGAGAGCCACCAACCCAAGGAGGTGCCCTTCCTGTCGGTCTACGGCTACAAAGCAACGAGCCTCGATTGCCTTTTTTGGAACCCGGCCAGACTCAAGTTGTGTGGAGATCAGCCAGAAGTGCCGCTCGCACTCCATGAGCAGACCTGCATGGACTTTATGCCAAGGGACAAGCACAACTGGGACAAGGCAGGGCACAGAGACTGTGTCTGCGATACAATTCTCTTTGCATATATAAGACCCACGGAAGCCTCAAGCAGAAGTGCCGCTCTTAGAATCAAAAGGCCAACTGAATTTTCCAAGGGTCCCACACTTAGTGTTTTCAATGCAGGCGGTTCCGGCAGGTTCGGCTTGAGGGGCTTGAGGTTGGGATGCCTAAGGCAGATCTGGTGAGAGGTTTTTGGTGGATGCTTTTCTGGACCTGGCCCCAGGGGCATCCCATGCCTTCCATCCAGATGTCGGTCGACGAGCACGTGGAGCAGGCACCAGTATGCAATACACTTCGACCTTCCACGAGCATCACGTTCGAATGCGGGATCTATCATCTTCGCACAGGCCGGAAACACCTGGTACCTTGTGCAGCCAAGTTCTCGGATTGCAAACGTCACGAGTGCATCATCAAGCTTAGAAGAGTGAAGATCGGGAAGGTGCAGCCTTCGGTTCGTGCCTGGCGGGGAAGTGCCTGCCTCGGGATCTTGTGTTGCTTCATCTCGGGGCTGTGGGATGCTGAGGATGGCACGGGGCCTGAAGAGCACTTGGAGTGGAAGGCCAGAGCCAGAGCTCGGGGCGACAAGAGCCAAGTTTGCCAGCATGCTTTCAAAGGAGCAACGCATGTCTGTAGCAAAAGCAAGTCAGCACGTCTTGATGGCATCTCATCTGCCCAGCACATGTGAAGGCACCTCGCAGACTTCATCATCTGCGAACTGACCTCCACGACCGAATGAAGTACTTCATGGAGGTAGTGGTGTTTCGCATCATTCTTTCCCGAGTCGTCAGCTTGATGCAACCTCGTGCAAGGAGGATTTCTATGCCAAGGTTTTCGGAGAGACTCCCTTTGCAAGGCGAGCTGCCTGCCATGTGCTTCAAAGATCTTGGGAGCTCCTGCTGTTTGTTTGCGATTTGCTATCGTCGTTTGCTGCCGACTTCATACCCCAACAGTGCCGCCGGAGAGCGAGATGCCAGACAATCTTTGCCGAAGCCTCCCGAGTTGCGGGAGCACTACCGGGTCACTACCGCAGCTGTCCGTGGCAAGTCATGTCTTTGTTGTCAGGTCAGGGCCGGCAGAGCGGCAGGGGTGAAGACGCAAGACAGACACTCATGGAAAGATCGAATTTCGTGACATTCCTCAGACCCACGACCTAAGACTTGGTGGTGACTGCTGGAAGGTTGCTGTGAGCCGTCTTCCAAAAGAAGCTAGATGATGCGTCTGTTCACCACCTGACCCTCGGAATCCCAGTGCTATCACAAAATGCCGCTTCAGGCACGAGTGTAAGAACGAAAGAGATCGTTACGGCCAGGCACGGTGGACTTCCCGGCACAACGGCCTATGCCTGAGACGTCTCAGAAAGAGGAGGGAAGAAGGAGCGACTAGTCGCATCTTCCGAGGCGCGTCTTCGAGTGTGGCTGGAAAGGCTGGCCCAAGCCATCAACCAGAAGGAGGATCGATTCTCAGGAAGAGTCCCCATTGAAATGTTTGGCCCCGAAGCGGCAGGTGCCACCGGAGGCTGCCGCCCTGGTGCTCCTGTTTTTCCATGCCCCTTTGCGCAGCTCCTACTGTAGCGGGGTCCTGGCAGCCCACAAGCTGCGCAAGCATGGCCGAAGCCACGCTCGCTTGAAATTCCCGAGGCCTTCTCACGTTGAGACTCCTCCGGCTTCGGTGGACATGCAGCTCGTCTCACCAGGAAGTCGAGTCGAGTAGAAGGACTTCTACGCCACCTACAGGCTGAGCAAAGATGTTACCGCAGCTGATTGGGGCTTGACGGCTTGCAGAGTTGGTCCGGAAGGTACATGCCCGAGGAATGGATATTAGATGTGGGCTGGACGTGAAACCGGCATAACTCTGTTCTGCTGGGGCTACTGGTGCAAGA